ACGATCATAGAGGGTGTAAAAGACGACGAAGAAGCCGCGCTGATCAATTTGGATCAGTCCAAGGCATTTGATAGGGTTGACCATCGCTACCTTGCTACTGTCCTGCAGGCCGCTGGATTCGCACCCAACTTCTGCCGCTGGATTAGCCTCCTGTATCGCTCCCCCAGTGCTGTGGTACAGGTGAACGGAAGGTTGTCGGACGCGTTCGTGCTGTCTAGGTTGGTTCGTCAGGGTTGTCCGCTGTCGCCTCTCCTTTATGCTTTGAGTTCTTGTGGTGAATGAGTAAATTGTAATGTATGAATGGGTCGTGAATCTGATTAGCTAGGTATAGGATAGTTAGTTTGGACCAGCCTTTTCCCCTCCCCTTCATCAGCCTCGTGCCACAATTGTAACATACGTTCAATAAATAAACTAGTTATATATATATATACATATACACAAAAAACTGTACCCCCCCCCTCATTTTGGGTATATTATGGAATCTTCCTTCAAAATATTAGTAAAGTCATTATTAATATGTAACATACTTTAGTATTCCAAATTTTTTTTTTTTAGCATTCATAAAATACATTTTATTTTATTTTTTTATTTTTTTTATTTATTTATTTTTTTATTTTTTTTTTTTTAAAGAAAATTAATATCCACAAAAATTAGTCATATCACTTTGTCTACAATTAAGTATTCATTAGCAATAATATTATAAGTTTGGGTTGTGATCACAACAAAAAAAAGTGGAAAGAATTGTTACTTTACCCATAGCTGGGACCCATTAAAACAGTTACTATCACTCCGGGTCAGAGTGATCCTGAGAGTCATTAGAAGTGAAAAATTGTTAATTACCCATAGCTGGGACCCATTAAAACAGTCACTATCACTCCGGGTCAGAGTGATCCTGAGAGTCATTAGACGAGGATTGGGCTAAAAGTAGGACTATTTATATTTATACCTCGAAATTAAGGACTCACATTCATACCAAAAACTGAACTGAAGTTTCTTAAGACAATAACTTATGGATGCAGTTTTACATCCTACCCAGGACTACTAAGGACCTAAGAGGGACTTAATGGATGCAGTTTTACGTCTTGCCCAGGACCAATAAGGACCCAAGAAGTCAGTACCAAATATGGCACAAGTGAAAAGCCTGTAATTTCAATTTCGTAATTGGTTTTGTAAATAAATCCGCCATATTATTTCCCGATTGAACGTATTCAATTTGTACTGTTTTCTTTTGTACTTGGTCCCTAACAAATTGATATTTAATATTGATATGCTTTGATCTTTGATGTATTATTGGATTTCTAGACAAAGCAATATTGGCCTTATTGTCGTGGTAAATAATTATTGGCTCAGTTATTACCAGTGTTGTAATTGCTTTTATTAGTAATTTAAGAAAAATAGCCTCTTGTGTTGCTTTTGACAATGCAATATATTCAGCTTCACAAGTAGAAAGTGAAATCATTCGCTGTTTCTTCGATTTCCAGCTGATTATTGGGTTACCATCTGCTAGCTTAAAGCAATAGCCTGTTATACTCTTATGATCTGGTAAGTTTGCCCAATCAGCATCACAGAATCCTTCCAATTTTAATGGTTTATCTGATTGTCGAAATACTAGGCACCGACTTTTAGTTCCCTTTAGATAACGTAATACTTGCTTAGCTCTTGTTAAAATGCACAGTCCCCGGTTTATTTAAAGCCTTTTTTAATAAACATTTACAAATATTTCCTTTTGTATTTCGTAGATAAATACAGGCATCGCCTCTTTTTAAAACTAAATTATTAGCTCTGGTCCCGTTAGCTAACTCAATAAAATGCGAGTCGGGCTCACAATTGGGGTCAAAATTAATAAATTTTGTTTCATCTGTAATTACATGATTTGTCACACCCGTATCAACTAAGTAAGAATTATAACTACTGGCTACAGTACCCAATCCAAACGAAAAGGCATATGTATATCCATTCGAAGAAGTTTTTACATTTTTACAAAAATCATTCCTTGTATAAAATTGACATTTTGCACCGACATGGCCGACATTACCACAATGAAAACAAACGATATTTATTTTAGTATTGCTATTTCCGTTATAATTCTTGTAATAATTGTTTTTAAAGCCCTTGTTCTTAATATCATAACTCCTAGTCTGATCGGTTTGAGGAACTGGTTTTCTGAATTTTTTTTTTTTAAAATGACGTTCGCAGTTGCATTACGCTATTGCCTTGATTTTGGGGGGTACACATTTTTCAGTTTCTTCATAGCTACGTAACGCTATTTTAAACTCAGTGAAAGTTAATTTTTTATCTTTTTGAGTTATAACTGTCGTGAATAGTTTCAATGTCGGTGGTAAACCCTTTAAGACCATCCGAGATAGTCTCACCTGCAATTTTTAAAGCATTTGTGACAATATATCTACTACGGATTCATTTTCTCATCTCTTTAACGCAGTTAGTTCAGTATATGAAGCAATAATTTTAGGCTTACCTTTTGACAAAAAGTGTTCACGCAAAATTTGTAGAGCTCCCCTTCCATTGTCCTTGAACTCTCTCATTATTAAAGACAAACTCCGGTCATCCAATAATTGTATTAGTTCAGCGAACACGGTCGCATTTCTTTCCATAAAATCATCATAACCCCCGCTTCTGGTCGTCTTTGCAAAGGATGTCATGGAGTTTTTGTATTCTGAGGTAGCCTAAAAACTTTGTCTCCCATAATTCATATCTCAATTCATTCCCATCAAAATATAGTCGTGATCTGGGCTTATAACCAATGTTATTCATCATGACGGTCGTCTTCGAGTATAGAATCCAGAGGTTAGCAGTGAATATTTCGAAAACAGTAGGAAAGCGTTGTTCAGATTAGCAGTGGATATTTTGGTAAAAAGTAGCAGAGCATAGTTCGTCCTTCTGTTTCTCTTCACCTGACAAGCTGGACTGGACATTCGGGTAGAGTGAACAAAAATGGCCGCCTTTATACACAATGAATTGAATGTTCTATGTCTTCTGATTGGTTAACCTTCTATTGGTAGACTATAAAGCGAGTCAAGGCATTTGGACTAACTCACTAGTTATATATATATATATATATATATATATATATATATATATATATATATATATATATATATATATATACATATACAAAAAACTAACAGAAAGTATGTAAATTAAAATTTTGTTGAAAAATTTATATAAGCTTCAATGAGCCTAACATTTTCATTTTTAAATTAGTTATCTTGCCTTAATAAGGTGCACAAAGAAATATTTTGTGCAAGCTTATTTGTATTCCATTTTGTCATTGTAATAAATGTTTGTTTCTTTCAAATTTCACATCAATGTATCAAGTTTTGTTTGGTTATATATGCACCTTATATAGGGTGCATCAGAAATACCTCCCACATAATGGTAAGAAATTAGTGACAATGATGTCTTCATCTAGCTCCTGTCTTACTATTATGTTGGAGGTATTCCTTCCACTATAAAAAAATATTTTAGATACAAAAGTTTAACATCTTCAAAAATTCATTACCAGCTAATACAAACTAGACCTGATAAACTACATCACATAGTTTACATATTATATTGTAGAATGCAATAATTACAAGAATGAGCTAAAGGCTCTCAAAGAGTAGTATGTCAAACCAAAAAATGAGGTATTCATTTGTCACATTCTTGCCACATGCAAACAAAAACCTAAAAATTCTTAAAATAACTGAAAACATTAGCAAGAGACAGCAATTTTAAAACATTTATGGTTGAACAGTATAAGACTGAATATATTAAGGATGCCTTCATTAGCAGTATAAATTCAAACACCATCAGGCAAAGACTGCTTAAACACATCATTTTCTGCACAATGCATTCAACCAGGCTAGGGCTCTAGATACTGCCCCAAAAAGCTAAATACTAGTGATTTTTGAATCAGTAAAATTATTATTGTAGTAATGCCTCAGTACTCAAGTTTTCACATAGGTTATATGATATATGAACTGAAATGAAAATATACAATCATGTACATTTTTATTCTAACAAAATTGTTAATGAACCCAGACAAATTTTCCACAATATTTTTATCTTTATTTTATTTTTATCATACATGACTATCTCATCCTATAATGTCACTTTTTGATGTGAAACACAAAAGAAAAAACAAGTGTCTAAATGCTGATTGATATTCCTATGCACCTCAACTTGGCCACAGCACCAACTATGTTCATCCACTCATGTTCTTGGTAACAGTTTTCATCTCTTGTTGTTAACACCAAGTAAAAAGTACATGTTGCAGGCTGAAGGTGTCTTTCATATTCTCAATGTAAACTTCCTTGGGTATGAATGTTGGAGCAGGGTAAATTCACGTGTACTGAATTTACTAAATCCTATGAGGTTTATATTGGGTTCAAATCTCATTGATGCCATTCATCTAAGCATTTTATAGGTTCTGGTTAATATTTTTTAAACCAAACTTTTCCCATCAGTTTCCAATCTGATTAATTAGTCTGCTATAATTTTTCCATTTGGCATTTTCACTTAGTATTCTAGGCTCTCTCAGTACTAAACATTTCATGTATTATTATGACTCCATCATGATCACTGCTCTGTTACATTCATCTTACTTTATTAACTTCTGGATTGTGATTAAGATTAATATGTACTACAATTGACTGATTGCGCAAAACAAAGAGCTACATAAACTATAAAAATGTTTTTTTTTTTTTCTGAATATTGTTCAAAAGATAGCACAGAAATTTCTGAAGTGACAATCATTGAAAAATTGAAGTAGATTCAGATCACAGGAAATAATTTCATTGATAATATTGCACTATTTTCTATGTCAGGGTCAGTTTTGCATTCAAAAATAGAAAAAAAATATTTACCATAAAATGAATGCAAATTTGTAATGGTTCATACCTCCTACTAATAAAAATATGCAAAATCAAATTTATGGTATTACAACACAAATAATACAAAAATAATTTTCTATAAGATATAAAAATATAGTTTTAACAAACCTGTAGTTTATGACTTTCTCCAAAAGAGACAATGTCTGAGTAATATCCTCTCTGTTTAATTGCTGGATATAGGTACTGCCCATTTTTCACACTTTTTTGTTGTTTTACTAATAAATCATTCCTAGGAAGCATCTTGAATAAATGTCCATGATTACTTTGTGAACTCATAGTTTATGCTGGAAAAAAATAAATATCATTTCTTATTAACTATAATAAATAATGAAAGCAAATATTTCATTTTCTTAACACAGGACATTTTCATATTGTTTTGTATGCCATCAAAAACAGTTTATACATACCACTAAAAACAATAACATTATTTTAAGAACTTAAGATTTAAAATGCATTTTAAATCTTAAGTTCTTAAAAAGTTGTTCTTTTTTTAAATCACTAAAATCAGCCATATTGACAAATCTGTCAACACAGCATAATTCTCTTTCATTAAAAAATCCTTCAAAAATAAAGTATACTATTTTGAAACTTTATTCAAGAAAGATTAACTGATTTAAAGCATAATCAATCTGAATTAAAACAAATATTACTTTTAGTCTAAATATCGCATTTTGGCATTTTTAAGTAAAGGGCACATAACTGTAAAAATTACTTGCCAAACACAATGTGAACATCTTTTTTATATAATTTTTTTAACTATATCCAGTAATCTTAAAAATTTAGGAAAATATACCAGTAAACTAATATTTTATTGAATTTTAAGTACTTTGGCTTTATAATCTTCAATAAAAAAGGGAAAAAAAACATTTTTACCAAAATTTTCAAAAATAATATATTTTATTTAATTGTGAATAAGTCCTGAAAGTTTCATTAAAATCCAACAATTATCTGATTTTTACAAGAGTTTCCAAATAAATGTTTTTCACCATAACTAGATGCTCAAATTTTCCATACTAATTTATGGTCACTTGCTGACACAAGAAAAAAAATTTTTAACCAAAATTTCAAAGGTTCTAAAAAGGATTAAAAATTATAATTTAATAATCAAAAAATACTTTGGTCTTTTTTCTTAATAACAACAATGATTTTGACAGTAAAACTTTGTTTTTATTAAGTTCTGGACATTTTTCCATCATGTATGCTCATTTTTTAGCAAATTTAATATATTATTAAAATGTTTACACAAATTTTTAAATATCTTTCTATTCATCTGTGCATCTATACATCAATATCTTCAGTCCTTTTTTTTTGCTTTTGGTTTTTTGTATATTTTAGAGATGATCTTTTTTTTTTTATTATTCATTTGAACAGTCTATCAAAGTCATAAAAGATATTGACACCCACTGTCTCTAATGCAAGCTACATACTTTACTTATCTCTATTACATATAAGAAAATAAATATGTTTATCATATATTTTAAGATTAGTTGACTATTGTTGTTTACTCAGTATTTTTAAAATTAAGATAAGTTTAAAAAATATTTCTTAAACTTATAATTTTTTTAATATTTTATATTTTAAATATTTTTATAATAATTTTAAATATTTTTTAAACTAATCTTAATTTTATCTTTGATTCTTACACAAAATATATTCATTAGTTTAATGAGATAACGTAATTCATAAAGTTGGATTTTTTAAAGATTAAAGAAAAACTATCTCAGCTCTGTGTTTATAGTAGGATACATTGTGTTCTCTAGCTTTGGTTAGCAACCAGTCAAGGAGGGAAACTGTGTGAGGAAAGCAACAAGAAACTACTCCATTATCTTTCCTAAGAACAATGATAGCAATACCTTTCAAGATATTAGAACAAAAAGAAACTATGACATTGCAAAATAAAGCAAAGATGTGTTTAGGTTGGAGGAAACACTTAAACAATTGTTCTCTTAAAAGGTATGGAGGCAGGAAAGGAAAGGAAATAAAACTGCAGCAAAAAGGTTGTAAACTTTTTGTTTCTTTCCTTGCAAATAATACCCACAATCCACTTCCTCTCAAACACTCTACTGAATGCAATAAGTGTAGCCTGTTCGACACAGCAGTAAACCGTTTTCCCCATTTTTGACATACTTATTTACAACCAAAATTTACATATGTGAAAAGATAATCTTGTGAAAGAGTATCTGACTACAGGATATATCTGTTTTAAATGTGTAACCCGCAAAGCCGCCAATTCTTTCCTCTCTGGACAATTTACATGCTATGTGCATTCGAATCTGTGTTCGTGCTGGAGGTAAGTCATTTGCTTCCAGCATTACAAAAAGTGCATGAATCCCTGGACCTCTTTACTCTCTACAATAGTTCACCACAAAAAAAAAAAACTGAGTAATGACTAGTGAGGCATGGTAGGTGGCACACAACTTCCATAACAAAATGTGCTAAGGAAACACCTTCACAAGACAGTTTCACTAACTGCCCACTGCTGATTGCTGGTTTTCCTGTTGCTTTTATTGACATGAGACAGCTGTGCCTGATCTGGACAAGTTACAGAGAGACCCATATATGGACATATCAAGCTGTTCTGCTGTTAATGGGGAAAACCTGGGTGTTACTAGCTTAGACAGACATGTCTGCATGTGACTCAGAGCCTCTTTTGTGTCTGTACTGATTTGCAATCACCACTCTACATTCTGGTCTCTTGGTCACAAATATGACAGCTTGGAATGGGTCATTTCTATCATGTACTTCTCTAAAGGGGTCTGGTTCATGTTCCTCCACCTTGTCCCCATGTGATTCCTCTTTCATGCGATCATTTGGCCTATCCATTTCCTCCCCACTTTTAGACATATCATCTTGAAGATCGTGAACTCAGGGAAGGATGAAGGTCCCTAAGATGATGTAGCATTTCAAACACCAAGACTGATTGCAAACTAATAAGTCCAGTAATTCATCCCTTTCCAAAAGTTGTACACCAGTTTCTACCCATATATGGTCTCCCACATTGTATACTTTCTAGCCCACCTCATTGGAGGCATTGAATTAGTTCCTGTAAGTTGAACCTTGTATCTGTAGACTTGATTTGCAAGCACAATCAGTGGTGAGGTCTCATCTTTAGTGGTTACATTGTACCAGAAGGTGGCCTCTTTTACAGTACATTTCATCCTAGTCATAATCCTCCTGACACTTCAGTGACACAGCCCCCTTATTCCATTTCCTACCATAACATGTGCACATCGAAATTACAAATGCACACCGTCATTCTTCAGCAAAGCCCCAAAACTCGCTGCTGCAGAACACTGACTCCAGATGATATATGATACCCAGTGAGTCTTGGCCACCACAGTCTGTTAGTGTCAGGTAATGGCTGCCATAGTATTTTGTGATATCTATGCCCAGCTAGTGCCAAGTACTGTTCACTCCCAGTTTACATTTTTGCCAATGGACTGGTGCATGAACTATAGTTGTGCACTCCACACAGGTCCCAATGGGCAACTTTAACATGGTCTTTGACACAGAACGACAAACTATCCCCACAGAATATTGCATGCTACACTTCTGGATAGCCACTTTGTTGATGTACTTCATTATCTGACTGGGACTCATTGTGTCCAGGGAAGTAGCACACACCTACTGCACAGGTTCAGCCTCTTTTTGACAATATCAAGCCACCTTTGAGATATGCAGGACATCTTGTCAGCCAAATTTTTGTTTCACATGACCAGCACCACATCAACAGACAACTTGTATTCTTGGACCAATTCCTTCATAGTGCTCAACCTTTGTCACACTAGCATTTTGCTCTCTGTGGGGGTAACCAACCACCAGTGGTGTGCACACAAGTAATCAGTTTTTATGTGCAAAAACTTTGCCTGGCACTGGAGGGCCAAATTGAAGCCTTTGACTGCTAAGTTGATATGCTAGGTATTGTTTGTTGCATCCGCCAATGTTGCTCCACTTTTTTCAGTACCACTTCTGTCACTAGAGAGCTTGCATTGACCTATACATTAATTTCAGATTTGTTCACACACCAGTCACCCTGGGCAAGCTCTTCCTGTCACACTTTGTCCATGGTTTCCTTCACCATCTACTTAAGAGGGATGTCGTCAATTTGATCATCCTATCCTTTATGACTGTATTTGCCGCCATTTGATGAACACAGTCGCTACATGCAACCATCCACACATGGTTTGATATGGCCACAGTGACCCGTGGATGTGTACATGAAGATACGCTTTTTATTTGTTGTGCTGCACCAAGGCCATTAATAGCACTAAGTGCTTGTGTGGCCCTGGTCCCTTTTTGGAGCACAATATTAACCAACTACTGGTGATCTATGTCTGGAGTTTTTAATCCTTAATGTCCTTTGATATGGAGTATTCTGACTCCCTGTTTCATAACTGGGTCAGTGCTACACATACTGTCCACTTCCTGGCGAAAATTCAGGTTAGTCAATATGATAATATGGATTCCCACTCATGTTGGTGTCTCTTTGTTACAGAACCACATGGCTACAGATTGCATGATATTGATGCTACCCAATGATGTCATGGCATCGGTTCCAGCAAGCAGGTCAAACCCTAGTGGTCTGTCACGCACCATGAGGACTTCAACCTCATCTAAGTTTCCACTATCTATGCAGATATTAACAGTCCCAACACCACAGCATGCTCACATTCTGCCACATCGACATGCTTCCTGGTTCACAAGAGCAGCCAGAGTCAATGAGAGCTAAACACCATTCTTCATCAACCAATATGTTGAATACGGGCAGTGCTGCATTTACATCTGGGCAGGCAATGAGACTGGAGCTAATTTCTGTTCCCCCAATCTGTTTCCTGCACATTTCTGTGATATATGACCCAGTGTGTCACAGCAATAACAATGTATGGCTTTTTCTTCTTGTAGCTCCCACTTTGCTCAGCTTGATGACTCAAACAATTTCTAGCGAAGTGATTAGCACCAACATATCTGTGGTAGACAATACCACTCTACAGAATTGCTTAGGCTTCATGACTGCCACAATCGATCCCACTACCATTACATCTTCCCTCAGTATGGCACTGACTTACTTTAACAGTTGGCTGATGCCCAGTGCATCCATTTGAGAGGAAACACAAAGCAGCCACCTGACATGCACAGGCAACATATGGGGCATCTCTAATACGAATGCTTTTTTTTTTCTCCTTTACTGAATTGTTAACACACAGTATTTTATCACTGGTCTGACTTAGTCAGCCTTTTCA